AGCCCCTTTCAGATTAAAGTATTAACTTGGTAATCGTAAAAATTTAAAACATTTCAAACACTTTTATTTATCACAATAATATTTTTCATAATATAAACAGTACGGAGTTTTCAATATTGCGGAAGCTTAACAATCATAATCACAAACATAATTTATTTATGTTCTTTAATTCAAAACCATCACATCCATTCCGACAATCTCGCCTCCGTCTGCCTCCAGGATCACGTCACTTCATTAACCTGCGTGTAGCAAATAAAACATACTACACGCTCAGCGTTGAAGCTGAGTAAGCATATCTAATGCATCGAACATCCATATAAACTGAATCTAAATTCATAATCAAATCATTTGATATCATGCACATAATGTTCAGTTCAGATAATCAATAATTATTAAAAATTATTCATCATGCATTATTCAACATTTATATTCACATTCAATGTTCATCAGTCATTCATAATAATTGCAATATTCAATTCAATATTCATCATTCAATATTTACTCATATTCAATATTCAATATTCAATATTCAATATTCAACATTCAACAATATCCTTAAACTGTTCTTAGTCTAAGGCCAATCACTTTAATATTTGTCAACCCTTAAACGAATTCTAGTTTAAATAATTAAACTATATTCCAGTATAAAATATTCCTAAATAATCCTTAAGCTAGGCCTAGTTTAAGATAAAAGGGTTTTGAAAATCTAAAACTTACCTTCACTTAAGGCCAACCAAAAACCGACAGCGTAGTGTTCACTGTTGGGTGGGTGGTACCCCCAAACGAGTAGGTACTCAAGTTTGGTTCTTGGATCCCGTACGTACGTTTTAACCCTAGCCACCGGGGTTCATACCCGCAAGGCCTAACTTAAATAGGTATATCCTAGAGGTCTTCTAGATACCTTTCAAATCAACATTAATATGGGTATATCTTAGAGGTCTTCTAGATACCCTTAACAATACATTTTATTTTCACAATCACCAATATATTCATTATGATTTAATCATTCAAAATTATCATTTTTAATCAGAATATTCATCAAGATTCAATCATCATAATAATCAATCAATAATCATTACCATAATCATCAATCAACATAATATTTAATAACAATTAGCGGCCTAGCTTCGGGTGTTAACACCCTAACTTACCGTCATGCATCACATAACATTTTTATTTGTTAAAAACATCATTTTTATTATGGTAAATCATTTTTCCAATGATCATAATCAATTGGTGGATTTTATATTTAAAATAATCAATTAATACTTAAAAATCGATTTTTATAATTAAAATAATCGATTAATAACTTTAAATCGATTTTTATGATTAAAATAATCGATTATTATTATTTTTAAATATACTGACTATCTGAACAAATTTTTAATCGATTATTAGGAAGGAAATAATCGATTTTCGGCCACTGTTCATCATCTTCTTCCTCTGTTCAATTTTTAACATTATCATTTTTAATTACCAAACTTCAATTAAATTATATAGGAATGTTCCCCAATGTTCACANATCATTTTAGAGTCATTAATTTGTAGTTTTAACAACAATTTCTTGGTTTATGATTCTTGGTTCTTCAAACATGTCAAACATAAAACTCAACCAAACGACCGTTTATGAACGTAAAAACGATCTATACGAACATTCTAATCACTAGATATATCTACGGGCTTACCTCGAAGCTTAATGGAGGTTTTGAAGATTTTCCGGCAAAACTTCCGGCGAGAATTGTAGCTATCTCCGGCGACCTCACACCAATACGACAGCACCACTGCGTTCTCCTCACTCCCAGCAACAGAATAGACAGAAAGTTTGTAAGAAATGGTGAGGAATTGAAGGAATGGAGATGGTACTTATATAGGAAAATGGTGAAGGATGCTGCCAAGGGTGATGTCTGGTTTCCTGTTCGGGCGGCTAGTGGAGCGGGCTGCGATATTTCTCCGATTCCAAACGCAAGTCCCTGATTGGGACTAATTTGGTCCTAGTCGGGGAACACTTTTTGGTCCAACTTTCTCCGAATTGAAATCCGATTGCACCGTTGCGATCAGACAGTTAAACTCTATCTAACGATATAATTTTTATATTTATTCGTTATACTTTTTCCGACATCATATTTTTAGGTGGTTGACTTTGACAGAGTCAAAATTGGTTTAATTGACCTTTATTCAAAAAGGTTCTCACATTTAATTCATATTATTTATTTCCATGATTTATTTCAATAAATCATTTCAAAGTTCACATTATAAACAATTTCTTCATTTATTCTTAATTTGGGTCTGTACTCAGGTTCTCAATCAAGATCACACAATAAATCAACATGTTGGATTTATCTCTATGAGATTTATCCCAATTATGTTTATTGGATATCAATATATATTTTATTTTAGCCCAAAGCCCAACAAGAATTTATTTTAATCAAAACAAATTTTGTTTAATTGAATATTTAATTCAATAAATTTTAGGGTATATTTTGGGGCGTTACAGTACCCTCCCCCAAGGAAGAGTCCTCGTTGTCACTCATCAGAAGTTCATTCCAACTCTTTAAGTTCCAACCATCCTTTGGGCAGACATAGTCATACCCGTCAAGTAGGGAGTCAAAGAAAGTATGGTCTGAATCTTCAGATGAATCATTGGTTGCGTAGGTTTCTATAGACGGAGTTGGCTTTTCTTCATCTATAGGTTTCTCCTTAGACTCGTGGACATTGGAATCTTGGGGGCTTGTAGTGAGCTCTATCTCCTCCAGAGCAGGTTCCTCTAGAGGTGTCTTCAACACAATTAAGGAGATGGTCGTTTATTTCTATAGGCAAAACTTCCTCCTCCTTCTGTTCTTGAATAAGCATAGGTGGTTCTGAGTCAGGTTCCTCAGTTGGTTCCACCTCATGTACGACTGTGCCAGTTGAGACTTGGCTTGGTGGGTATTCGGGTAACATCACCACAGTAGCCCCAGTAAGAGTTGTTATGCTCTCGGGTTTCTGTGATGGTGTAGAACTTGGTGAATCTTCTAGAACTGGCACCTGATGGTTGGATGGTTTAGGGTTGGTCTTAAGTTCTAAAGCCTCTTTTTGAGCATTAACTTCCTCCAATTGTGGATCTTGAGATTGGAAGGAGCGTTTAAGGTCAATAGCCTTACAGAGATCATTGACTAATTAATCAGCTTTAGCTTCGGCTTCTCGTCTCTCTCTTTGGAAGTCGTCCAGCATTTTCTGCATCAATTCTGATCCTTCGCATAATCTCCGTTCGAACTCCTTTTCCTTCCGGACTGATTCAAGAAGTTTTGCTCTTTCTCGAATTGCCACCTTGTTTGCTTCAATTTGTTCTTTAGCAAACAATCTGTCATCACGGGAGTAAGGTGGTTCGTACCAGGAGCCTTCAGCGAATAAAACCTCGTCGAGATAGAAGATCTTCTGCTCTAACCTTATGATTTCTTTGACGAGAGGATCAGGTTGATTGTCATACATAGGCCCAGATTGGACATAGTCATCTTGATCACCATGAGGTTCATAATAATCATCCCCATCAGGATCTTGGTATGGAAAATATCCAAAGTTTCTAGACGGGGTATCATATGGTGGTTCTTCATGGTAGGGATAGTAGTGAGACCCATTGTTGATTTGGTAGTCATCATCTTATGGGTACTGATGTGGGTGATAGGTTTGGTGGGGTTGAAATGGAGGGCAGTTTGGTGATTGGTAGAAAGGAGGCGGATCGTAATAACCACTGGAGTAATCCATAATAATTATTACGGGTGGTTGGTGAAAAAGAAGTGAGAAGATCGTTCTAACCAATCTTCACCCAAGCTAATCAGAAGAAATTAAACTAATGCCGTGCCACTCCCCGGCAACGGCGCCATTTGACAGATGTAGTTTTTCGGGTAGTAAACCTTCCCAATAAAGGGTTAGCTTTCTCTTCGAGTGTCGTGTCTCTCGAGGAGTGGACGAGGGGAATCAGTTTAATTACTCTAACTAGGCGACGGTTAGGATTGGTTTATGAAAGTCTTCTTAGAACGATTGTAAAAAAGGAGCAGAGTAAAAATAATAAATTAAGTTTACATAGTATAAGTATAGATCTGGACCTAGGGTCAGGACATCATTTGGATCTATTCTATCATATTAAATTAACAATTGGAATAATAATATTTCTATTACTACTCATCCATTTCTAAATTTGTACTTAATCCGTTGTACTTGAATATCATAGCCTTTTGGCATACAATATTTTCTCAATAAATAGTTAATTAAATCTTCCGATATTAATTAACTAAATAAGGCAAGAACAATTGACTAACCATTCCAATATTAATTTAACATAAAAAATAAACAACCAAACTAGTCCGGACCCAGAGATCTGGACCCTAACTCATACTACGCAAACTTAAATTAAAACATTATTTTATTAAATAAAACAAAACTTATAACTTCGGTAAAAGCGGAACAGAACAGATCGGGAGTAGAATTCCTCCAAAAAAAATTTCAATTGATAGTAAAGAGTAAACGAACTTACTTCAACAAATCTGAAGAACAGGAGGTTCGGGCTTACAATTTGCTCCGAGAAAAACTCCAGAAAATGATACTAAACTAAAATATGAGAGTAACTTGCAAATTTAGGCTAAAAGAGGCGAAATTCGGACTTTTTGGGGGAGAAGAGGCGCTGTGCAGCGTGCTGAATCGGAGAGGGAAGGGCTGTATTTATAGGACTGGACGCGAAGCGTCCAACCCCAGCCGTCCATATCCAAAGCGTCCAAAGTTGGACGCCTTACGTGGCCCGTCCATTCGCTGCTTGCCACGTGTCTTTCGTTGTTCCCAATCATCGCCAAGCGTCCAAGGTTGGACGCTTCGGGCCTTCTCTTGCGGGCTTTCTCCGCGGCTTGATCCAATTCAAGCCCAATTTCAATTTTTACTTCGCTTCACAGTTTGTTTCAGCTTCCTCCGATATTCTCATGATAAAATTCTCAGTTAAAAACTTCTTTTTCTTTTAAATATAAGTAGAAAAATCAACAATCTAGACTGGATAAATTTTAAACCAATTATTATTCCTTAAAGAACAAATCAAAGATATTGTTCAGTTTAACATAAAATTATGTACTGCTTATCACTATTTTCGTGCAATAACGCTTAAAATATGTAGAATAAAATAAGAACAAAATGAACTTATCACTCCCCGTCTTCAGAAGAGTTTGTCCTCAAACTCGGAAGTTCTTCAGGGTCAAAATATGGGCTGAGATCCTTAACATTGAATGTAGCAAAAACTCCGTACTCTCCAGGGAGATTGACTTTGTAGGCGTTGTCGTTGATCTTCTCCAAAACCTCGAATGGACCGTCAGCTCTTAGTAGTAACTTGGACTTACGTTTAGTGGGGAAGCGCTCCTTCCGCAGGTGAATCCAAACCAAGTGCCCGGGCTTAAAACTAGTGAATTTTCATCCTTTGTTGATCCTAGTGCTAACCTTCTCATTAACCGCTTCAATCTTCTCTCGAACCTTGGCATGGAGCTCTTGAATTTCCTTGGACCTTTTACCAGCTGTCCAGTTGTATTGCTCTTTTCCTACGATGGGATCAAGCTCAAGTGGGGTGAGGGGGTTCGAGCCATATACCACCATGAACGGGGATAGTCCTGTGGTCTTGTTCGGGGTCCGGTTATAGGCAAACTCGGCGTGTGGCAGTAGCTCTTCCCATTGCTTGATGTTTCGTTTGATTAGAACTCGAAGGAGAGTTCCAAGCATTCTGTTGGTGACTTCGGTTTGACCATCAGTTTGCGGATGGCTAGAGGTGCTGAATATGAGCTTTGTGCCTAGCTTTCTCCACAAGGTCATCCAAAAATGGCTAAGGATTTTGGGATCCCTATCGGAGACCATGCTATGGGGTATGCCATGGAGTTTAACAACCTCTCGGAAGTAAAGATCGGCTACTTGGGAGGCATCATATGTAGTAACGCAAGGAATGAAATGGGCCATCTTCGAGAATCTATCCACAACCACCATAATGGAATCTTTGCTTCGTTGAGTTCGGGGCAGCCCGGTAATGAAGTCCAGGCTAACATCTTCCCACGGGGCGTACGGGACGGGCAGGGGTAAGTGCATTCCTTGCGGTAAGGCTTGGGACTTTGCAAGTTGACAAGTGTGACATCTTGTTATACCCGAACCCGGGGTCTTATCATTTAGATAATTTGAGGGCGGGATTACGGAGGAATTGGTAGCAAACTAGAACATCCTTTAAACTTCAGGAATGCCAAGTAGTCGATTGTCACAATTGTGATAATCGATTATTGGTTGTTTGGTTTAGGCGAAGAGAATTCAGAGAGAGCAGATAGTCGACTATCAATAGTTGATACTCGATTATTGGGCTTTGCAGCAGACACCGAAAAAGTCCTGAAGGGTGAGGTAGTCGACTGATAGAAAGGTGACAATCGACTGTTGGTGACTGCGGGACTTCTAGGGGCAGCGATAGTCGATTGTTTTGAAATGATATTCGACTATCAGGCAGAAATGTGAGCAGGAAGAAGGATATTTGTGTGGGGGATGGCTGGAGATATATGGGGATGATGAAAGAGTTCTTTTGGTATTTTAATATGAGGAAAGAAAGGGGATTAAATACAGAAATGGTGGGAAAAGAAATGGATAGAAAATAATGATGGATAAACCAAGTTGGTGTTTAAGAGAAAATAATGATGGATAAACCAAGTTGGTGTTTGGAAATAGTGAGAAAAGAAATGGATAGAAAATAATGATTGCCGACCTCAGCCCCTACTTTGAGCCAGAAGATATTTCGAGTTTGAGGTCAAACTCTTTTGAAGAAGGGGAGGATGATATACCCCAGGATGCACCTTCACACACGCCACTACTGTTACAACAAGTCAAGTGTTTAATGTCTAGGTGTTTAATTTCTACATCCTTCTCTCCTTCTTCCTCTTCTTAAGTTGATATCCTAGACTACCCCGGGTCTCGGATACAACAATAAGGAATGTCTTCTTTATTTGTGCACCTCCAATAATGATGGCCATAGCCACAACACATGTAGCTAGGAAGTTTCCTCATATTCACATTCAATGTATAGTGTATCTTTCCCCCCTTCCCCTGCCTATATAATCAGGCCATATGGCTATTGTAACACACATCTTTTGAATATTAAAACCTTTTACTCTTTGAGTATTATTAAAATAGTGTGATGCTATTTTAGTCAAATTCCTAATTCTATATCTTAAGAGTGGTTATCTTAAGTGTGAGTTTTAGGTTCTAGATATTTGATTAAGTGTGTCATATCTTAATTAAATTCTAGATTCAAACCCCAAGTTAGGATAAGAGTGTGTAATATCTCTTAAACACCAACTCGGTTTATCCATCCCTGATTTTCTTCCATTTCATACCTCCCCATTTCTCCTCTTAATCTTACTCTTTTCTTCCATTAAAATACCCAAAAGAACTCCTTCATCATCCCCATACTTTTCCAGTCATTCCCCCATGTTGGAACACGGGTTTACGCCTACGTCGTACTAAACCGTGTTCGTTTTTATGACAGGTCTTGATAATGCCAAACCGCCGTGACACAACAAGGCTAAAGTTAGCAAAACCAAGGAAAAGAAACACGGCATGATGACATGTGAACCAAGAACCAAGAATCAAGAACAAAGAATTAGAATTGCATCAAGTCAATCTTAATGTGATCAAGACCGGCACAAACTTCCAAATCTTGGCTCTCTAGGCTCAATTCATCAAAACCCTTTTTGCAAATTCAAAAATGTTTTTCATAAGTTTTTAAACCTGGCTAAAAACACTTGGAGTTCACCCAAACCAAAAACCAAGTCATCCGGCGTTCGGCTTTCAGAAACCGGCGTTCGGCTTTCGGCATTGGTTTTTGGGCATCCGAACCAACCAAGTGGTTTTTAATTTTTTATGATTGGTTTTTACTTCTGGGCATATTTAAGGAGTTCTCCAACAAAAACGCTTCAAAAACCACCTTCCGATTATGGTCGTTTAGTGAAAACCATGCAAAACGACACAAACTTGGTTAGCCGTAGTTTTCAACTAAATGACGTGGTTTTTAAGTTGTTTTACTTGATTTCTTAGCAAAATGCAATAAACAAATGTTTTCAATACTTTGTTTTTATTTTGGAGAACTTACGTTTTTGACATTGGCTAACGGCATGACTAAACCAACCATGGGTCTGGCTAAACCAGCCCAACAGCGATGTTGGTGCACCCAACAGCACTGTCTGGCTTGAGTAGCTGAAAACCATAGTTTGGCGTTAAGTCTTCCAACAGCGATGTTGCACACTAGACATCGCTGTTGAGCCAAGGTTGGATTTCCAGAAACTTCTAGAACAGCGATGTAGGCTTCCCTACAGCACTGTCCAACCTAAGCCAAAAATATAGTGCATTGGCAGAAAGTTTCAGGACAGCGATGTTGACCCAGAAACAGCGCTGTCAGGCCAAACATCCATCTTCAAAGTCAGACCTAAACAGCGATGTTCTAGTATTGAACTTCGATGTAGGGACCTGACCGTTGGAAGGAATTTAAGGCCAAAACTTTCCTTGTTTGGAAGTCAACAGCTAAAACAGCGATGTAGGGGTATTGGACATTGCTGTTGGCATGACCGTTGCTTCCCAATTTTCAAAACGCAAGCCTAGAACAGCGATGTCCAAGCCTACGACAGCGCTGTCTGGGTGAATTTCAGCAGATCCAAATTTAATCAAATCCCACAAATTGTGCAAATCACCCCTTAAATGTTTTGGTCTGTTGGAGCCTATTTTTCCACTATAAAATGGGGTGTTTGGGTCTGTTTTACATATCAATTGACTTCACAACTCCTACTCTTTCATTGCAAATCACTCATTCTTTATTCGTAGCTTTTTTGGAGAGCCATTTTTGTGAAGCTTGTGTTGTGTTCTTGAGCGTACTTAGTTTACTCATAATCTACTCTATAAGAGAGCCTCCTTCTTGAGTGTATTCTTGTTCTTAGACACTTACTCTCTTTCATAAAGAGAGCCATCTAAGTTTCCTTCCCGACAAAGGAAACTTCCTGAGCAACTCCAAGCACATTGAGCTTGAGAGTTCAACATTGCCAAACAATTCGTGGGCGTTCGAATTGCTCTATCATCACATCGAGCTCTCTCAGAGAGCCCTCCGACCTAATCGGTGTTCAACACCACAACCAGGGTAAAATTTGGTGTGCCTCTTATTCTTCTCTTTACTTCTCTTTTCATTTTTTAATTCCTGCGATTTCTACGATCAAACACTATTCACCCCCCTCTAGCGTTGGTCACTTATTCTAACAATTGGTATCAGAGTCTAACTCGCGTCCAAACTTAACTGTTTGAGAGTAAAGCGATCATGGGTTCTTCTTCTAGAAATCTCTATGCAAGAATTGGAGAAGGTCAGTCTACGTCTAGGCCACCACTCTTTGATGGCACCAACTATTCCTATTGGAAGGAACGGATGAGAATCTATATCCGTTCCACCAACTTCCAATTATGGTTGGTCATCAAAAATGGAGAGCAAATCCCAATGAAGAAAGTTGGAGAAACCACAATCCCAAAAACCGAGGACGAATTTGATGCCGAGGACATCAAAAAGGTGGAGAACTACGCCTAGGCAATCAACATGCTGTACTGTGCCGTCAATCCTGATGATTATCGCAAGATCTCTTGCTGCACCACTGCAAAAGAAATGTGGGACAAGCTGGAGGTCACATATGAAGGTACGGACCAAGTTCGGGAAGCCAAAATTGACTTCCTAACGCAGGAGTACGAGATGTTCAGAATGAAGGAAGGCGAAAAGATCGATGACATGTTCGATCGGTTCTCAAAGATCATCAACGACCTTCATGCACTCAAGAAGACCTACGCCAACAAGGATCTTGTGAGAAAAATCTTGCGAAGTCTCACACCCGAATGGAGATCAAAGGCAGATCCAATCTATGAATCCATCGGAGTCTCAAATGTCACCATCGACGGGTTAAGAGGTAATCTCAAAACTTATGAATCTACTATCCTAACCCCATCTTTGGATGAACAAAAGAAGAAGGGAATAGCGCTGAAAGCATCCAAGGAGACCATGGAAGAAGCTTCAAGCGATGACGACAACGAGTTCGGACTCGTCATCAAGAAATTCCACAAATTCATGAAGAAGGAATTTGAACGGAAAGGAAGAAAGCACAACGGTGCCCCAAAGTGCTATGGCTGTGGCGAGATAGGCCACATCAAGCCAAGATGTCCAAAAGGCAAAAGCAGCAAGGACAAACCTGGCTTCAAAAAGCAACGAGCCTATATCTCATGGGGTGGCGACTCCGGCGACGAGTCAACTGATCAAGAAGAGGAGGAAGCCGCCAACCTCTGCCTCATGGCGCATGAAGATCAAACCGACGTCATTCAAGAGGTATGTACCATTTCTTCCGACTCTTATACTTTTGAAGAAATGCAAGAAGCACTTCATGAGCTTTATGACGAATTTGTTAGCGCTTCTAAAACCAATAAATCACTAAAGAAACGTCTTTCAACCCTTGAAAATGATTTTGAAAAGCTGGAAAAAGATAATGAAAGGTTGAAACAAGAAAACAAATTTTATGGTAAAAGAAGCGCTGACAAACCAGAAAGTTCTTCAAGTGAATGTGAATCTTGCAAAATCTTAAAAGAAAAGGTTGCAAAACTTGAGAGTACGGTTAAGAAGTTTAATACACCACACAAAGATCTTAATTTACTCCTTGACACTATGCATTTTTCTAAGGAAAGAATAGGTTTTGATAAAAATAAATCTAAGGATAAAAACGTTGAGCAAACACCTAGACAACCTCCTAAGGCTCAACATAAGAAAGTTAAAAATCAGGATAATAGAAAATCTAGTCAACCTAGGGACACTAGATAACCTAGACAAAAACCTAAAAATGAAAATGTGCATGCTAGACAACCTAGAAAAAATTATCAAAATGATTTTGTGCATAAAAATAATTTTTCAAATAGACAAAATAATGCTAGGACACCTAGAAAAGGCCAGTTTCAAAATTTCCAAAAACCATCGTTTTCACAAAATAGGAACAAAATGGTTAAGCCTTCGAACTATTATGAACCTAGGCATATGTACAACCCCAATGTAGTTTGCCATTATTGTAATAAGATAGGCCATATTTCTCCCGTTTGCTACACTAGGCATAGACAAAATCAAGCACACTACCATCACACACCTAACACCCGAGGACCCAACGTAAATTGGGTACCTAAAACTCATTGATGTATTTCATAGGTGTGCTTGAAGGCATCAAGTGTACTTTGGTACCTTGATAGCGGATTCTCCAAGCACATAACCGGGGATGCATCCAAGTTTCTCCAAATCAAACCCGCTAAAGGAGGAAACGTAGTTTTTGGAGATAATAGTAAGGGAAAGATCATCGGCGTTGGTTCAGTAGGTAAAACTGAAAACTCCTCTATAGATAATGTCTTGCTTGTTAAAGGTCTTAAACACAATCTCTTGAGCATAAGTCAATTATGTGACAGGGGAAACCGTGTGACCTTCGATTCAAAATCATGCACGGTAGAACGCCTTAGTGACAATAAGGTCATTCTACGTGGTGATAAAATCGATAACATTTATATGGTTAACTTAGACAAATCTCCCTCCGGCTTTGCTAAGTGCCTCATGAGTAAAGAGGAAGACACTTGGCTATGGCACCGAAGGGTAGCTCATATGAACATGAACCTTTTGAACAAATTGGTTTCACAAGACTTAGTAATTGGCATTCCAAAACATAAGTTTGAAAAAGACACCATATGTGATGCGTGTCAAAAGGGGAAGCAAGTTCGGGCCTCGTTTAAGTCTAAGAACGTTGTTTCAACGTCTAGACCGCTTCAACTTTTGCACATGGATATCTTTGGTCCTTCTAGAACGACAAGTTTTGGTGGCAACTACTTTGCGTTTGTGATTGTCGATGACTACTCTAGGTTTACATGGACCTTGTTTCTTACTCATAAAAGTGAAGCATTTCATGTTTTCAAAAATTTTCTAAAGAAAGTTCAAAATGAAAAAGAAACAACCATAGTAGCCATAAGAAGCGACCATGGGGAGAGTTCGAACGAAATCTATTTTCAGATTTGTGTGACGAACTTGGCATTGATCATAACTTCTCAGCACCACGTACACCACAACAAAATGGAGTGGTGGAACGTACAAATAGATGTCTCGAAGAGATGGCTAGAACTATGATCAATGAGGCAAAAATCCCTAAGTATTTTTGGGCGGATGCCGTGAGTACCGCGAGCTACGTGTTAAACCGAGCCGCCATTCGACCGATACTCATGAAAACGCCCTATGAATTATACAAAGGGAGAAACCCAAACCTTTCCCATCTTCGAGTCTTTGGTTGCAGATGTTTTATTCATAATAACGGCAAAGATAACTTGGGAAAATTTGATGCCAAGTCGGACGAAGGGATTTTTCTCGGTTACTCACTTCGTAGCAAGGCCTATAGAGTGTTTAATAAACGTACTTTGACTATTGAGGAGTCCCCTCATGTTGTGTTTTCCGAAGATAATACTCGCTTGGCGAGAAAGGCTATTTGTGATGATCTTGCAGACTCACTTGAAAGGATAAACATTGAAGACGATGAGGAAGACACGCCANTTTTATTCATAATAACGGCAAAGATAACTTGGGAAAATTTGATGCCAAGTCGGACGAAGGGATTTTTCTCGGTTACTCACTTCGTAGCAAGGCCTATAGAGTGTTTAATAAACGTACTTTGACTATTGAGGAGTCCCCTCATGTTGTGTTTTCCGAAGATAATACTCGCTTGGCGAGAAAGGCTATTTGTGATGATCTTGCAGACTCACTTGAAAGGATAAACATTGAAGACGATGAGGAAGACACGCCATTATACACCAACCCGCAACCATAACCTGAGGAAACACCTGAAGTGATGGTCGAAAATGAGGACCAAGCGGACGAAGAAGAACAAGAGAAAGCCCAGGAACAAGAGGAAACCGAGCTTCCCATCGCTTGGAGAACGCACAAGAATCATCCACTTGACCAGGTAATCGGCAGCATCAACCGCGGGGTAAGTACTCATAACTCACTTAGAGACACCGTAGGACACATGGCTTTTGTTTCTCAAATTGAACCTACAACCATTTCCGAAGCAATAAACGATGAACATTGGACCTTGGCTATGCAAGAGGAGCTAAACCAATTCAAACGGAATGACGTTTGGGAATTGATGCCAAGACCCGATGATCGTACGGTTATTGGTACGAAATGGGTGTTCTGTAACAAACTTGATGAAAATGGAATAATCACAAGAAACAAAGCTAGGCTCGTAGCTAAAGGCTACAATCAAGAAGAAGGCATTGATTTCGAAGAAACTTATGCTCCTGTAGCACGTTTAGAAGCTATTCGTTTACTTCTTGCTTTTGCTTCGTCTATGGATTTTAAACTTTATCAAATGGATGTTAAGAGAGTCTTCCTCAATGGTTTTATTCAAGAGGAAGTGTATGTTGACCAGCCCCCGGGGTTTGAAGACTTTGAGTTTCCAAACCATGTCTTCAAACTCAAGAAAGCGCTCTATGGTCTTAAACAAGCACCCCGTGCTTGGTACGAACGGTTGAGTAAATTTCTTTTGGATAGTGGTTTCCAAAGGGGAAAGGTTGACACTACACTTTTTATCAAGAGTAAAAACAATAACATCCTTTTGGTTCAAGTTTATGTAGACGATATTGTATTCGGTGCTACTAACGAGTCTTTGTGCAAGGAATTCTCAACGTTAATGACAAGCGAGTTCGAAATGTCGATGATGGGTGAGCTGACATTCTTTTTGGGACTCCAAGTCAAGCAAAAGAATGATGGCACGTTCATTTGTCAAACTAAATATTGCAAGGAGCTCCTAAAACGGTTTGAAATGGACAACACCAAAGCCATGGCAACCTCGATGAGCACGTCCGACCATCTAGACAAAGACGAGAAAGGTAAGGAAGTAGAAGTCAAAAAGTATCGAGGTATGATCGGATCCCTTCTCTATCTTACCGCTAGTAGGCCGGATATTATGTTTAGCATATGACTTTGCGCAAGGTATCAATCATGTCCGAAGGAATCGCACTTAACAGCGGTGAAACGGATCATGAAATACCTGGTAGGCACGGTTAACGTTGGACTATGGTATCCAAAAGGCTCTTCGTGTCATCTCGCTGGTTATTCCGACTCGGATTTTGCCGGTTGCAAATTGGACCGTAAAAGCACAAGTGGGACTTGCCACTTACTTGGTTGCTCTCTAGTCTCATGGTTTAGTAAGAAACAAGTCAGTGTTGCGTTATCCACAACCGAAGCGGAATATGTAGCCGCCGGTAGTTGTTGTGCTCAAATCCTTTGGATGAAGCAACAACTGGTGGACTATGGCCTTAGTATCAATCACGTTCCTCTTCGTTGTGATAATACTAGAGCCATAAGCCTGACGAAGAACCCCGTTCTTCATTCAAGGACGAAACACATTGACATTAGGCATCATTTCATTAGAGATCATGTTCTCAAAGGTGATGTCGAAATTGAGTTTGTTGAAACACACAATCAATTAGCCGACATTTTCACAAAACCTCTAGAGAAAGAGTCGTTCTTCCGCATTCGAAGTGAACTTGGAATCCTTGACTCCACGATGATCTAAGTTGTGCATCTAAACTTGTTAAACGTTTACTAACTTGAGCGTCGGAGAACTTTTTTTTCTTTTTTGCAGGTACCCCGTTCATAAAATCAGGGGGAACCATGCAAACAGCGCTGTCCAAGAGACCCAACAGCCTTGTTGAGAGAAACACCGTCAACCAGTTTGTGTTGTGTTCTTGAGCGTACTTAGTTTAGTCATAATCTACTCTATAAGAGAGCCTCGTTCTTGAGTGTATTTGTGTTCCTAGACACTTTGAGAAAAAGTATTTCTCTCGGTAGATTCAAAGGAAGGGCTGTTTCCTTTGAAGGACTCGTTGAGGTTCGTGTAACTCGAACTCTCAAGTTGTAACGGTTTGTTAAGCACCCGCAAGCTTAACGAGATAGTAGTGTAGCTCGAGATAGTCTCTCGGGAGGTTGGATTAGCCACAAGTTGTGGTGAACCAGGGTAAAATTTGGTGTGCCTCTTACTCTTCTCTTTTAATTTTTTAATTCCTGTGATTTCTACGATCAAATGCTATTCACCCCCCCTCTAGCGTTGGTCACTTATTCTAACATCCCACACAAAACATCCCCCTTCCTGCCCAGAATTCTGCCCAATAATCGATTAACCTTAATGACAATCGATTATCAGTCACCATTGAAACACCTGCAGCCTTCAACAATCGATTGTCCCCTCTTGACAATCGATTGTCCGTACTCATTTGAAACATCCGTCGGGATCAATAATCGATTATTCTTTTCAGATAATTGACTATCACTCTTCCCCAGAAATCTGCAGCCCTCTATAATCGATTATCACCATACCGATAATCGATTGTCAATCCCTTCTGAAAAATCCAAGGAGCTGCACCATCTGACAATCGATTATCTAAGATAGACAATCGATTATCCTCTTATCCTGAAAACAAAAGGCTTTGTTTCTTGAGTTTGAACTTAATACTATCAAACCCGGAACCTGGATATAACAGAAGCTAATTCTCTCAATTTCCTAATGAAATATCTCTAAAGTTGGCTACTTTTGAGTGTGTGTTAGGAGTCTATTTCATAGAATAATAATGAATATTATTGTGTGAAAAGAAACAGCCCCAAATTAAATAAGCGTGTGTTTATCTCTTATTCATTATTTGGTTTATCCTTATGCAACAAAAACCACAAAAGAACTTCCTCTTTCTCTCCTAATTTCGTCCATCCCCTTTCTCCCATTTAAACACTTCATTTCTTCATCAAAAACCACTCCATAATATTGCTTTTCTCCTGCCCTATCACCTCTTCCAAACAACCATACTTTCTTCACCATTTCATACACAAATCCAACCTATTCTTCACCATATATTCCCCTCTATAATCTGCCCTTATTTATCCATAGCTTTTCCTAAGCTTGGGTACATCACACACTCTTATCCTAACTTGGGGTTTGAATCTATAATTTAATTAAGATATGACACAATTAATCAAATATCTAGAACCTAAAACTCACGCTTAAGATAACCACTCTTAAGATATACAATTAGGAATTTGGCTAAAATAGCATCACACTATTTTAAGATACTCAAAGAGTAACAAAGTGTAATATTCAAAGGTTATTCTTTACAATGGCCATATGGCCTGATTATATAGGGAGAGGGGAAGTGGGAGATACATAATACATTGAATGTAGACATAAGGAAACTTCCTAGAAGCAACTATTTCAAACACATGGGATAATACCCATTTATTCTTGTCTCCTTAATGGAAAGAAATCAGAGATGTGTGCATGGGGTTGTGGGGTTGTTTGGCATGTGAATGAAGGCCAATTTTATTGATGAATGGGTGGATTATTTTTGCCAAGGGGGGAGGGATTGTGCAGGAGGGGGCTGGTTGTTTTGGAGGATTCTTGTGGGTAGTTTTGTGGGGAACAAGGTGAGGTTTGATTGGTGTAATGGTGGGTCATTATGTCTTCGATTTTAGTGGCTGTTTGTGTATCCAAGTTGATGGACATAATGGGGAACGAGGGTGGGCTTATGGCATGGGTTGTGGGCAG